ATTACCCAGCTTGCCAGCATGAGCAAGTGAGATTCTTTTGTAGCGTGCTCTGCTAAAATTTAGCTGTCTGGTGTCTGGGATTTCAGCCTGGCTATCAACAAGCACATTCCTTAGTCCAGGCTACTACTGTTTAACCCATGTTTTAACCCATTCTGCTTTATACTCCTGACTTTCTTTTCAGTACGCTGTAGTTATTTAATGACCACTCTCCTTGCCTTTTTTGCACTTCGTAAGGGATAGACATTTCTGATGGTGCCTCTTAGGATTGTTCTTTTCTTGGAAACAGATATTGTATTTGCTTTGGATATTTTGTACTTTTTGTCAAATCTTGAACAGCTTTTCACTCCAAGGCACTCTTCTCCCCTTTACTGTAGGATGACGAGAGCCTGAAATATTTAACTCATGAGGAAAAGGATGTTCTCATGTTTTTTGAGGAAACCATTGATTCCTTGGAAGATGACTTTGAGGACCAGTTCCTACATGACAGTGGCATCCACTGTCACTTCCCAAGGTCAACAGAAGAAAATGCATCCAGCCATTCGGAGACAGAAGATATCATTGATTTAGTGCAATCGACCCCTGAGAGCAGTGATCATGAAGACTCTTCTAACAAAGATGCCCCATCAGGTAAAGAGGGGTAGCTGTTAGGGCATGTCCACTGAAGTAGATCTTACCGCTCAAGGTGTCATGGTGTGAACTCCTGCAGAGACATGACTCTCATTCTGACACTTGTAAACACTCTTAAGGCATAAAACTAGAAGCTTTATGTACCTTGCCATGGTGTGTGTGTGTGTGGGGGGGGTATTCACCCTAAAAGCTCAGCTATTTGCTGTTACTACATTGTTCTGCATTCAGCTGTTCATGTGATGCTGAAGTATGCAGCTAGGTTTGCTACCTACTTCCCCACCTGACTACAAAAAGGAGCATCATAAAGTTCTCCCAATGAGTAATAGCTGTGGAGGTAGATAGTAATCGCTGTAACAAGTGTGCATGCACTAGTTATTTCTATATCCACTGCCCCCCCTTTTGTGGACAGTCATTTGTGACACTGGTGGTGATACCTCTGCTGGGGGTCTAGTAGTATGTGGCTACACCAAGCAGACCGCATGTTTTTGGTCCCCCTAGATCCCTATCCACAACCAGTTTCCCCAGGCTTTTGCCCATTGGGAAGCATGCTGCCATGTTTTAAACTTGATGCAGTCCTTTTCTCCACCCCTGATAACCATGAGTGGTTGGTAATAGGAAGAGAAGAAAGCTTCTTGTATACTAGATATCTAGCGGATATGAACTCGCTGGATTGGCAGAAGGAAAGCTAGTCATCATAAATCCAAATAATAATTGGCACTATAGAAATACTGTCCTAGGTAGGTGGGTGGGGGAATAGGAAGACACTGGTAACTTAATTAGGCTCTTCAGGCAAAAAGCTGAGGTTCCAGCTTTTTCATGTGAAAAGCTGGGGTAATGGGATATGTATGAGGCCAGTCCTAGTAAAGGAAAGCCTTGCATTCAGCTATGTAAGAGCTCAATGAGATGTATGTTGGGTTTGCTTGTTTTTTAGTGTTGGGGGCTGCTGGAAGAACCGATAGCCCTAAGCCAGAGGACAACAAGCAGCCTGAGAGGATATCACCTCCTGATGATGCCCCAGTCCTTCCTTTGGCGCCTCCATTGAACCCAGAGAGGTTTCCTCCTCCTCCTGTTGTGCAGCATCCTAAGCTGCTTCGCTCGGTCCCCACTCCACTCATCCTGGCTCAGAAAATATCTGAGAAACAGATGGAGAACAGGGCACGTGCCCCTGGTTCTCCCAAGGAGGTGACGCCCGTGGAGAAGAAGAAAGTTGCAATGCAGAATGGAGATTATTTCCCAGCCATTAAGCAACCTCTGCAACCTGCACCTAAACCCCACAGGTTTCCAAGCAACATCAACATAACCAACATAAGCAGCAAAGAATTTAGCCAAACCATCTCTAAGGCAGCAGTCAACGTGCAGGAGCGCAGAGCACAGGTACTGGCCAACATCAATGGAGGAGCCTTTTGGGCTGCTGAAATAGAAGAGAGGCTGCAAAAGAACGATCTCTTGGGTCGCAACAGAAGCTCCTCCTTGAAAGATCTGACTTCTGAACAAACACGATACGAGGCCCTGATGAAACTAGGCCTGGCAAAGGAAAGGCCAAGTCCCTTCCAGGCAGATCGTGCTCCAAGCACTCAGAAACTTAGTGACATGCAATCCAAACAGGCAGGGACTGTTCTGAATGGATATCAAAATATCCATGAGATCTTAACAAGTGAACCAAGCCCTTTCCTTCCTGTGGGCAAAACAGTGATGATCAAACCACCCGCCACCATTGTCGGTACCAAGAGCACACAGCAGAAAGTTGCCAGAAGTTTTAACGAAGACAGGCAGGCTGACTTAACCCTAGACATCAGGAGGAGGTCAGGCTCCCTGCCTAGACCCTCAGGATTTCGACCCCAAGGAATAACAGTACAGTTTTCTGGCCGCGGCTCAACGGAAGAAGCCAGGAAAGAGGCTCTTCGAAAACTAGGACTGCTGAAGGAGACTCTGTAATTTATGGAAGGGGCTGTCCTGACAGCTGGGAGGCAAGGGAGGTGTCTGGCTTGGCTTGTGCTGGAATAATCCAGCAAAACTGCATTTCCTAGACAGAGGGGAGTGAAGAGCAGTTCTGTGCTCCTGCAAGCCAAGGAGGTACTAAATGCTGTGCAACCACAGGTCTGTCGGCCATATCCGAAGTGGCACTGCTCAGTCAGCAGGGAGGTTTGAATGCTGCATCCTATCCAGTTACTCATCTGTTCTTCAGTGTGATTTTGAAGGCACTGTTTAAAACAGTACTGGACTGCACCAGAGGGCATTGCATTAATGAAGTGTACTGTGCAGTATTCTGTTTTTTTATTTGTACATAGCTAGCAAATCCAATGGAGGAACTTCCTCATGCTCTACCTTTCTGAAGCCAAAAAACCCTACAGATTTCCGTCTAGACATTCAGAGGTCACGTACGTTTAAAGCTGAAGTCTTTGACCTATGTTACAAGCTTTTATCACTGCCCCTCACCTTCCCCACCCCTCGCCTATCTTTATTACCCAGCTCCAGGAGGGACTGGAACTACTTTCTCCTCACCCGTTTCAAGTGACTTGGGACAGAGAGTGGTTTCCCCTTTGGCCTTCACATAGGCACAGAGGCCTAAGATGAGAGTAGGTGACTGCATTGTCCTGCCACTAAATTTGTATGTTGTCCCTCTTCCTCACTAATTGTTTCTTGGGTGGCTACCGATCTACTCGTCCGGTCTTCTGAGCCCCTGGAAGACCGCGCGTGTCAGTATTGCACTGACAGCCAAAGCGTCTAGTGACAATCAGTCAGCTGCTTTCATTTGAGCTGTGAAATGCAGCAGAGAAGCCATAGGTACAAGCTAACTTTGTATCGAACGCGGGAGTCTTGCCTTTTTAAACAAGAATTCAGTGGAGAAAACTTGCCCCGAAACAATAGCTCGACTCCACTAAGAAGTAGTCCTGGTTCAGTCCCGTTCATCTGATTAGCTGACTACTGTTCTGCTTTGTGGTGTGTTTTGTATTTCCGACTTGAGGGAAGATCCAGTTTGAAATTTGGGCTCCATGACTAGTGTGGGTAGGAAGGACCAAGGAGAGAGAAGCAAGTGCTCGCCTCCCCATGCAGGAGCCGCAGCAATTTTGGTGGCACCGCAATGCGAGTTCCTCAAACAAGGGCTGCTGCAGTGGCACAGGCTCCCTGGGGGCTCTCATTCTGGTGCCCCTCTGAATCGTTGCCCTTCTCTCCCACTAACAAGTTTATGGCTCTGAAGATCCAGTCATTCCCAAAGTTGTAGGGAGACCCTTCTTTGAAGTACCCAGCCAGCTAGTTCATCATAAAAGATAACCCAAATCCTCGCATTTCAAACAAAATGACCAGCCCAGCAAGAGTTCCCAAACAACCTGAATTGGCGTCTTCTTCCTGGGCTCAGTCGGCAGACTTTACAGGGAGGCTGAAAATATTTAAGCATACATTTTGGAAGGTGTTTATAGTCCGTACACACAACAGACAAGCTGCTCTCCCTCAACAACACCATTTTTCTTCTCTGTGTGCATCCCCAAATGCGAAGGGTAGAAGCCAGTTTAGAATCAATGCCAAAATCTCAGTCCGTTAAACTCCTGGTCTTAAATTTACATAACTGGAGGCCTAAAATATCTCACTTTTTCCATAAGTTCACTCTCTTGCATCCTTTGAAAGCTTAAGCAATTTCTCCTCCTTCCCTTTTTTTTTTTTTGAATGACTAAATTATAAATCTTGGAAAATAGGAGGGAGTAGTTACAATAGAAACTGGCACACCTTCTATTATAGGAGCTCTGACACAACTGTGATAAACATGTTTATGTATTTCCTGTGATAGAAAGTGTTGCTTAAAATGCACCGTGTAGACTTTCATAAATGAAGCTATTGTGAAGGAAAATCTTTTTTTCATAATTGTCAACCTGCCTCATAAGTTAAAGTAATTTAAAAAAAATAATATTTAATCTGCCTGCTTTGTTTGGTTGGTTGTTTTTTAAATGATTGCATTGCCTATGGAATCGGGCTGCTTTTCTTATTTAATTGAGGGATTCTTTTCAGACTTTATATTTTCACTCAAAAACGATAAATGATCACATTCTTGGATGTAACAGATATGCTGTATGCAAGTGTTCAGTAATTTAAAATAAAAAATGTGACCATTCCTCAGGCTAGCAAAGTCCCCAAGTATGTGTGCATACCTGCATGTTGGACGTTAAACACGTATTTACAATCTTTGCTAGAGCTGAGCCTTGGTCCCACTTCAGGAGAACACTTATGCACGTGCTTGTGACTTCTGAACTGCATGCTTAAGGGCTCTTCTGAATTTGGTGAAGTAAAAGCAACGTATTGCTAATGTCATAACTCACCTTCACCGTTCGAACACTTATTTTCCTCTAAGCAAAACAAACACAGGTGTTCACAGCTTTCTGTACATTGAACTTCTGAATTTTATTAAAGGAACATTAAATACAAATGCAGACTCCTACGGACCTATATTCGCATGTGATCCATTATCTCAACAGTAGCAAGCATTGATCGTGTGGTGGTTTGGGATTTTTTTTTTTTAATTGACAACTGAGATGGTTTAGAGAGAAAGTAACTTGGAACGGACTTGATTTCAGTACCTTAACACACCATTGAAGGATGAATTTGGTGTTTAATACAAAAGTTGTATAGTTTTTTTAGTATTAGCTGAATTATATGCCCCGTTTTTTATTTCCTGTTGAATCTTCAGTTGGTAGATTTGCATTTAGATGTGCCAAACTGAGGATCCAGCACAAAGTATTTATTGTGGTTCACCCACCTCCCACCTGTCCCACTTGAAAAACCTTCCACTGTGCCTGAAACTGTAGCAAGTAAAGCCATGTACTATGTGAATTTAGAGTATAGCTGCTAGTAAATAACCTGTATATAAATGTTAGCTATATGTTGTGTATCATGCGACTGTGTGTGTATGTAAATGTTGTGATTTTTGTTTTAAAGTGGAAATTTTATCTTGCACAAATCTAATTAAATTAACTAGGATAAAATCCAATGACAGAGTTGATGGAAAGTGGCATTTCTTCCTTTTCCCTTTATCCCTCTAATTAGTTGTGGTCAGCTGTCAGATCCTTTTGAAAACACGAATTAACTCTTCTCTGTCTGATGCCTGGTCTCTGGTGCTCGCAGATCCACACCAAAACCAACAGTCCTGTCTGGCAGAAATGTAGCATCACCATCCTAAGAGATGTCTGCATCTTTGCCTTTGTGTTATAAAGAAACTTAAACAGCAAGCGCCGTTAGGTATAACCTGGCCCCTTTGTTATTAAACCAGCAGAAGCAATGTCCTTCCCCCCCACTTCACTCAGGTGCACACCTTCATGAAGAGGCCAAGTGCAAAGCCATCTGTGAGCAGAGAGGGGTAGTTAGCCCAAGCTAGCTTTCTTGCTTCCAACATGAATTACGGAAGGTAGGGTACATTTGTACCTTATGGACTAAATACATCACGGATGTATAGCATAAGCTTTTGTGAGCCCGATCTGATCACAGCATCTGATGAAGTGAGCTGGGGCTCATGAAAGCTTATGCTATACATCTCTAATTTAATTAGGGTAGACTTGCACTTTACAGACTACCTGCTGCATGACTGCAGACTAACACGGCCAATGAGCTCTCTCTTCCGAAAGAGGGAAGTTGTCAGCTACTATTAATGTCTCCAGACCTAGAAGAACCTGCTTGTTCCAGTTTGTTGTGTTGAAATTTCCCACTCCCTTCCTACTCCTTGACTTGTTTGTCCGTATCCTTAGTGACTGTCTCAGGCACTTCAATCTGTGGTGTCTGATGGGCCTGAGCAGTAACCGCAGTAGCTCCCACGAAAGCCATGACAGCTGCAAGTTTACAGCACTGTTGAGAACAACCGCATTTCTCTGTTTTTCAATGACCATATTTTCTCTCACACCTTTTTCAAAAATGTAGCTGCTGGAAGTTGGGTGTGCATCATTAGCAAGGAAATAAGGTAATAATTTTGGCAAGGGGAGGGGAGAAAGGAAGCAAAAATAACACTTCTGCATGTGGGGCTCCTTGGGTGCTGCTGACTAGATGCTCTCTCCCTCCACCGCCTCCCCTGGCAGCTGCAGAAGTTGCTGCTCAGTTACTGCTAATACCAGTATTTTCAAGGAAAGGTCTTTTTCTTTATTCTGCCTTTTGAAACAAGGTATATCTTATTGGTGGGGACATATTGTAAGTGAGAAAATACAGTACTTCATGCTTTTGTGATACAATTGCCTAGTCAAAGAGCAGGCCATGCTCAGAGTGGCTTAGTGTTAACAAAGGGTCTGATTCTCACTTACTATATCAGTGTCTAAACACACTTTTGGCACTCGTATAATCACTTTGAAACGTGCCTTACTTAAAGATAAAAACCCTACTGCTACAACCTCTATATATAGCTATTCTGGCATACGTCCCTCAGTAGTGCTTATTCCTCTGGCCCTATTGAAATGTCTCTACGAAGATAAGCATCTCCATCCTGTTCCCATCGTGTCTGCAGTGCAGGGTGGGGGCTGTACTGATATTGTAGAAGTGCTGGGCTCTGTCTACACACCAGCTGCAAACCCACGTGACACCTCTCTCTTCCTGTCGATGAGAATCTGCCCCAATAGATTAACAACTTCGTTCAGTTCTGTGGTTTGTTTTTGCCAGGTTGGGGGCGTTCTTGGCTTTTGGGGTTTTGTGGGTTTCTTGTTGGGGTTTTTGTATTTGATACTGCAGGAAGGAAAAATAAAGCGTTTCATGGCTGCATCTCAAAGCAAACTACACATAACGGATGAGCTAATTTCTTAGGGATCCAATTGCTGACGAAGTATAAACATGGGCATTATTTTTCACATTGTTCTGGTACTGTATGACCCGTCTGAATACATTTCTCCTCCTCTCCAAATGATTTATTTTTGCCCTAAATTACTTGAAATCAGAACTTTTCATTTGAATTTGGAACGGCTTCCAGGCTCGGAGGTCAGCGTCGGCATGCCCCTTGCCATATTCTCGCTTTCCTTGCATGCTACTTCATGTCATGGGGCTAGTGAGGCGGTGCTGGCTGCAGCTCACCTCTGTGTGGGTACTTCAGACCCGCTTGTTTTCTGCCTGCAGGTGATGTGACAATATCCTCATAGCCTGCAATATGCAAAGTATATGGCAGGGAGAGGAAAACACAATCTCTCACCAGCCCGCGTTGTGTTTTTACCATACCCTGTCCACACTTCCCCAAAAGAGAGAAAATGTAAAGGATCTTACCTGCTGCTTCCTACAAAAATCCGAAGTCAAGCAACAGGAAAATTTGAAGAGTTTGCAGTCATGATAGATGTTACAGTCCCCTGGACATGCAAGTAGATCTACTGGACCTTCTGAGGAGGCTCGGCAACCTGTACTTAACTTGATTATGGAGAGAAAGAAACAGAAGGATGCTCTGCCTGTGTGACCAGCTATTTTTCCTGCAACAGAAACACTTAAAAAAAACACAAAAAAACCAACCAGTGAGGTAGTACCTCAGCTGCTGGCTTACCCCTCCTGAAGGCCCATGGATATGTGTTCATTTATAGCAGCCAAGAACCTGGCCCTGTATCCATTGCTGCAGTCTTGACCGGGGTGGACAACTATTTGGGTTGGAGGGCCACTAAGGAGTTTGGTGAGCTGTTGGGGGAGCTGACCCAACCCCATCCACCCCACACCCACTGTGTAGGGACACTGGACAGAGTAGGCAGGCAGGGTCTCCATGGTCTCCAAAACTGGTTGCTGCCCAGCACCCCCAGCAGTGCGTACAGGGCAGATGGGTCGCGCTGCCCAGGCAGCAGGGCAGAGTCTGGCAGCAATGGTGGAGATGCTGGCAGTGGCAGCTGGCCAGAGTGAACCACCGCTGTGAGGGCTGCTGAGAAGCCAAATCTGGTCACCATGCTGTCCTCACCCTGCTGTGCACCTGGGGGTGGTGGGACTGGTCACATGTGCCATGTCCTGGCCTGCCCCCTTGAAGCCTGGGCTGGGCGGGGTCAAGGGACCTGCCATAAGCCAGGTGGGCTGAATGCAGCCCGTGGGCCATATTTTGCCCCTTCCTGATCTTGAAGCTTCCAGATCCTGTAAATGGCATTTTGTTTTTATTAGCAGTGTGATCCAGCTTTGAAGTACCTCCTTCCTAATCTTCAATCCAACATGGTCTCTGTACCCTCACGTAGTAAAAGTCAGAGGAACAAAGGTTTTATTGGCATTTCATGCTGAAGCTCTTATCTTCCCATAAAGTGCACAGTAGCAGCAGGTTGTTAAAGGCAGCATCTTACTCTTGGAGTTATGCCTTTGCCTTCAGCAAGAGCTGGATTTAATGTATATCAATAATTTGATAAAAATAGGAATGTGCCTAGAGCTGGGAAAAATTAGGCTCCTAAAGGCCAACCAAAGGCTGTTCCATAATTAATCCATGCAGATTAACGTCTCAAGCAATGGGGTTTGCCTTTGTATTGTGAGTTTAATCTATTCAACAAAGCCTTTTAACATGGAGACCACAAACCTACTCTGCAGGCAAAATGCAGCATCTCAAAACATGTGACTCAATGTCTCGTACATGCTGCCTGTTTAATTGCACCGGGGATTCATCAGAATTCCTCACAATGTTTTATTCCCTTTGTTTTTATGGTGATTGACAAGTTATGTTGTTAAGAGCTGTAGGCTACAGAAACAAATACGCAGCCAAATGTCAAATACTGAGAGAGAGGCAGGCAGGAGGCTGCTCTACAACTAGTTTTATCTTCTCTAGGTTGGTCCTGCACTGAGTTGTCTATGGCGCCCCAGTAATTTGAAAAAATACGTACTAAGCAGGGCTTGCCCGTACACAACTCACTCTGAGATCAGGGACCAGAAAGCCACAGCATTTTCTAGAGTGCCACACAAACCTGCAGATGTCTGCCTGTGATGTTTTACAGCTTCACACGAACCAGGTAAAACAGGAAAGAGATAAGCTTCAACAGCCTACGCAGTGAAAACACCTACAGTCGTTATCACTGGTAATGGTATAGGCCGGATAAGTCATGTTGCTTAGGTAGCAAGCCAAACCTGTTTCCATACAATGAAAGTTTCCCAGAACCACGAGCTGGAAGGACCGAGCCTGAAATGTAAGAGATATTTAGACCCAACAAACCAGGCTGGTTCTCGCTCTCATTGCTGGAGGCACAAACTGTCTGGTTCAAGCTTACAGTGCAACTAGAGGCATAGGCAGAAAGAAGTGCAGCTCCCTGAATTAACTCATGGTGCTTCACAGAAAGTGCCATGAATGAGACCAATCCTCCCGACCCAACAGACGGTAGCTGTTGTGTCAGGACAGTGGGGGATCCACCTCCAATTTTGGAGCTGATGCAAGGGGAGAGGCTGCATCTCTGCAGCCTCTTCCCCTAGCTCCCCTCCCCTCCCAGCACCGTCTCAGGATGAGAGGGGAGAAGGCAGGTTAGGGAGGTCTCTTCTGGGGTTTCCCCCGTCTGCACTGGAGTGGAGGTGTGGGTGGATTGGAGCAACCCCCAGAATGAGCTCCCTCTGTTCCCTTCCCTCCTTCCCATTCTGAAAACAGCACCAGGAGCAGGACTGGGCTGCATCAATCCAGTCCCACTGCAGGCAGACAAGTTAACGAAGGTGCTCCACCTTGGAGAACATTCATCTGAACCCTCATATAAATGAGGGTTCAAATTGTTGCAGGATTCAGCCCTTTTAAAGCACTCTGCAGCCATGCACTGGTATTAGGTCCTGGCTGGAGAGTGCTTTCAGGGCCAGATCAGGCAAAAATTGGCACTTCTGTCTGCGCCTCTGATGAAGTGCTTCATAACTGAGCTCACTGAGGTGGAAATTGCAGAATGCATTCCTTGGCTGTCTCTTTAAAGTCATAATTATTATTGGCAAGCAGTGAGCCAAGGTATCATGGAAAGTACACCACCCCAGAACAAACAGAGCAGCAAGCTGCAGAACTGCTTTTGCAGCTTTACTCGTGGTCTGGACTTCAGAGACATCTGCAAAACAAAGCTGCTCACTTCAAAACCTTTCAGTGCATTTCATGCCATGGCAGCACCCACAGCTTGAAAAAATACCTTGCGTTCCCCTTGGCTTATACGCTAGCTCCAAATAGTGGCCTGGAGATACACTTCATACAGCAATCGTACCGTAAGTATAGTTTAATAGGGAATATGAAATCATGGACCCAGTTTAGAGTGGAGTCTCAAGTCTGTGCATGTAACTTAAGTCTCCTTGACCCAAATGTGCATGACGCCAATTAAATTCTCTCTGTTACCAATGTGTACGTTACACAGTAACTCTACACTTGGGTCACTAGTCTAGATGCAGAGTCTACGGCACTGTCTGGGGTGTAGCTGTACCCTTAGTGTAGATGCCATTTACAGTAGTCCAATACTACTAGCTCTGGTTCAATTTACCCCAATTTAAAACCATACAGACACCTACAAACCTTGCCTATAGTAGCAGGTCACAATAGGACAGCTGCACTACTGGTACACGCTGGGTTTTTAGCAAGGCTTTGGAAAAGTACAGGTATAAATTGATGCAGCACATGCAGAAAAATAAGATCTGATAGTGGGCATTCAAATAGCCAGTATTGTAAGGCAGGGGTGGGTCTGACCTCTGGGTCTTCTCACTGGCTGGACAACTCACTTCTGGATCCAGCCCGTAAGGCTTTCTGCCGCAGCTCCCAGAGTTTCTATGCTGACATGGGCAGCACCCAGGGGACCGATGCTGATCCTCTCTCCTGTGCCACTGGATTTCTGGTGCCCAAGTGCCATTTGGTGTGCAAATTAGTGATGGGGAAGCAAGCAGGGTGCAATTAACCCCTGTATAGTGGCTGTGCTGACACAGGGTGCTGGCAGCCACTGCAAGCAGGATCCAGAAGTCAGAGCCGGCCCATCCTATACTGCAAAACCTGCAGCCGCAGGGGGCCCCCCAGCCAAGA